TCTTGACTACTCTCTGAAGCCTCTCCCTGTCAGCCAGGGTGCAGCTGCCGTACCATACTGAGATACAGTATGTCAGCAGGCTCTCGATGGACGGGTGGTAGAAGGTCAGCAGCAGTTTTGTGTTTAAGTTGTGCTTCTTAAGGACTCTTAAGAAGTGTAGTCTCTGCTGAGCCTTCTTGATGACCGCTGTGGTGTTCTCTTTCCAGTTTAGGTCAGCAGAGATATGGACACCAAGAAATCTGAAAGTGTGAACCCTCTCCACGCACTCGCCGTTGATGTAAAGGGGGGCTAGGTTGGTGCTGTGCTTCCTGAAATCAATAATCATCTCCTTGTTTTTTTTTGATATTCAGAGCCATATTTTTCTCTGAGCACCAGGTTGCTATCTCCAGGACCTCCTGTCTGTAAAATGTCTCATCTCCCCTTGAGATTAGTCCGACCACTGTGGTGTCATCAGCGAACTTGACGATGAGGTTGTTGTTGTGGGTCGGGATGCAGTCATGGGTGTAGAGACAGTACAGCAGGGGGCTCAGCACACAGCCCTGTGGGGAGCCAGTGCTCAGCGTACGATTGGAGGAGAGGTGGGGACCAAGTCTTACAGATTGGGGCCGATTGGTTAGGAAGTCTTTTATCCAGGCACATGTGAGTGGGGGGAGGCCGAGATTGTCCAATGTGTTTATAAGAATGTCCGGAATGATTGTGTTAAAGGCCGAGCTGTAATCCACAAAGAGCATTCGAACGTAGATGTGCTGTTGTTCCAGGTGGCTCAGCGCGGTGTGGAGAGCTACTGCAATAGCATCCTCTGTGGACCTGTTGGTGCGATATGCAAACTGGTAGGGGTCAAAGTTCGGAGGGAGATAGTCCATGATGTGCTGGAGAACCAGTCTCTCGAAGCACTTCATGATTACCGGGGTGAGAGCCACTGGTCGGTAATCATTCAGGCTGGTGATGGTAGGCGTTTTCGGCACTGGGATGATGGTTGCAGATTTTAAGCAGGGAGGGATGACAGCCTGGGCCAGGGAGAGATTGAAAATTCTGGTGAAGGTGGGGGCGAGCTGGAGGGCACATGCTTTGAGCACCCTGCCAGGTACTCCATCTGGGCCAGTAGCTTTCCTGGGGTTCACTGATTGGAGGGAACGTCTAACATCATGCTCCCGTACAGTGAATGGAGTGGTGCAGTAACCGGGTGGGTGTGGGGGCAGGGCAGGATCAGATGGGTGCTGCTGTGGTACATCAAATAATAATAATAATAATAATAATGTCATCACAATGTCAGCACTGTATGTTTCCATACAATGGCGAAATTAGTCTCTGCATTTAACCCATCCACCACCAGGTGGTGCAGTTCAAAGCGTGCAAAGAAGCAGTTTAGCTCCTCTGCTAGTGATGCACTCAGGTCTCCTGTTGTCACCTCACAGCCTCTATAGTTTGTGATGTTTTTTATGCCCTTCCACACCTCCCATGAGTTGTTGCTGGACAGATGGGACTCTATATTCCTTTTATGGTCAGCCTTTGCTGTTTTTATTCCCTTATTCAGGTTGGCTCGAGCAGCTCGGTACAGAGCTCTGTCACCTGACCTGAAGGCAGCGTCGCGGGCTCTGAGGAGTGCGCGAACCTGGCTGGTCATCCATGGTTTCTGGTTGGGGTAAACACGAATGTTTGGAAATGTGAGGAAGAGGTGGAAGTGTCTTTGAGGAGGATTCATCTTGTAGTGGCATCTACATTAATACTTTTGGGTTCGTTAAATAAAACAGTAGACACCTTGGTTCTGTTTGGCAGCAAATGGGGGTTTTATTTGAGGCTTAGCCCAAAGGCCGAACAGCCAGGGATACCTCAGGACTTCAAAAGGCAGAACCCCTGGTCTAAATGCAGTACAGTATCTTTTTTATACCTTCCACTGACATCAGAAGTCAGAAGGTTGTATAACACTTTATCAGTCCTTTCCCATTTTAGAAAAACGCTTGAGATAAACAAATTCTTCCTAGGTCAGCTTGACATAAACCAGCACCCATTGCTAAAACAACTCTGAGTTATCAAAACAGCTTTGATGGAAGACAGTCTTATACAAACAGTTGATCTTACACCCAGAAACTCCAGGTACTTTTAAACAAGTACAGGTCAGTACAGGTAAACTTCAAGCACTTCTCAGAATCTGTTAAAAGCACGTTCAGTTGAACACAGTTGTAAGTTGAAAGACATTTGCTTTTGGCCTCATTAAACAGATTATCAAATTAATAAAGTTTCTTAGATTCTACAATCTGAGCAGTGAGGATTTTAAACAGGAGGATTTTGATCAAACTGATCAGACTGTCCGACTGAGAGATGGTGTGGTACTATCGGTTCATCTTCAAAGAGTAGATGCTTCATTATAAGTTTATTAGAGTTCATAAAGTTACATATTTTATTGTCAGTCACAAGGTGAGATACCTCCATGTGTTTATATGAACAGGTAACTATAGACTATAAAGTTCATATTCATTGTGCTTTTTCATTTCAGCTTGAAAACTGCAGGACTACAGGAACTCAACAAAAGCTGAGCTGGTCTGTCTGTGGCCTCTCAGGAACGGGCACGTCACACACACAACCTCGGCCTAATGATGTGAGTATTTCTATTTTAAACTTGTATTTTTTCATTTGCCCTTTATTTATACAGGTAGTCTCATTGAGTCACAATAACTCATTTTCCAGAGAGACCTGTTTAGGGAGCACATGGTGGGGGTTAAGGGCCTTGCTCAGGGGCCCAGAGTGAGGCGAATGAGGGTGGAGGCAGGTGTGGGTGTTTCACCTTTTCCACCCACATTTTGATGTTGACAGTACCAGGAGTTGAACCTGCGACTTTCCAATCACAGGCCCATCTTCTAACCGCTGCGCCACCACTCCCCCACATATCATATCATAATGGTCATGGCCGTATTAAAATCTCACTGGTTTCCTTCTAGATGTGTTAAACAGCTACTGCCCCCACCCTATGTTTACAGGTGGCTGCGGTCAGTGGACGAAAAGCCTGGCATGAACAAGATGATGCTGGAGATTATCATTTGACGAGAGCTACCACCTTCTAACTCTGAAAACAACGGCAGCTCAGTGATTCCCTCAAGGCACAGTGAAGGTGCTGAGAGCTGCAGAGAGGCTGATTCATGGAGCTTCAACACAGCAACCTCCAAACATGTCCACCCTCACACACATCGTCTGTGAAGAGACTGGACCAGAGCAGGCAGCACAAGATAATAAGACAGTGACAACAACGACAACAATAGACATACACAAATGATTCATACAAATTTTTATTTTTTTATTGTTTGTTTGTTTTACAATTGAAAAACAGTTTGTTATCCACTGTTGTCATCACTTTGTTAAAATCCAGGTCGATCTTGTAAATGAGTCTTATTGGCTCAGTGGGACTAACCTGTATCAATAAAGGTTGAACGAATATATATATATATATATATATATATATATATATATATATA